TGATCTCTTTCACTCATTCTATTAAAGAACATGAAGAAAATAGCATCAAAATGTGCTTAAAATGTCTGAAATAAAATTTAAAATTTCCAATCCTGTACGGTCCCAAATATGGAAGAATACTATACATAAATTATATTTTTATTAAATATGAAAATAAACTAATATATTTTACAAAATTGTATTTCTCAGACAATTTAACAACCTATTCTTTTGGAGGTCTTTTTGGAGAAAACTTGCGGTGAAATTTCAATTTCAACCATTCACAATTGATGGGCAAAAGAGGTGATAAAGAGGAGCCTTGGTAGCTTGTTAAGTTGTACTGTGTTTCTTTCTCATGCTGAATTTGCCTACAATAATTCTGTTAATTGCACCACTGGAAGGACTCCATTTGAGGCTGTACAAAGCTCAGCATGTATTTGACCTTGTTCTATTTCCATCTGGAGCTCCAGTTAGTGAAGATGCAATACATGATGAGGTACATACAGCATTTGAAGCTTACTATACTTTACAATGATAATGTAGATGATTCGAAAAAGGTTCAAGGAGTTTGCTAATGGTGATCAAGTTATGGTGTATCTAAGGAAAAAATGGTTTCCAAGAGGGACTTATCATAAATCTAAATCCAGGAATGTGTTCATTGCAAGGTTGTGAAGAAGATTAGTTTTAATTCCTATTTAGTGGATTTACTGGACGATCTTCAAACCAGCCCTATATTTAATGTTGCTGATTTTTAATTTTGGTAGTTTTGACAACAATGGGGAACGATTTATGGTTAACTGGGCTGAGAAGGTACCTAAGAGCCAAAGTGGTAAAAGAGATGCTTGATATGGACGAAGTGGAGTCTTGAGGAGAGATTTCCTATTGAAGGTTTCTTTTCAAATCGTTGGGAAACCATATACTAAAAGTACTTTGATAACTAAGAGAAACTGAAGAAGATTGATCCAGTCATCTAAGATGAATACATCCAAAATTTCACTGTAGTTGAGTCCACCTTGGAGGAATTGATTTAGGAGCATAAAGAAGGTGTTTCACATTAATTAGGGGTTACGATTTTTTGGTAGTTTTTGTTAAAGTTGTAGATTTGCAGAATTGATGTTTAGGTGTATTAATGTTATCTGAGCGCCATATATTGTTTTGGTTACGAGTTGCGTCACATTTATGTTACATTTGGGTAATTTCCTATTAAATTTCTGGACTTATTCGTGTTAACATGTATAATTAGAAGACAGTTTGTTCTTTTTGAGTTACCTCCACTCCAGTCTTGTAGTCCTTTGTTGTGGAAAACTCAATTTGCAACTTGAAAGGTTTTGAATTCTCACAATCAAGAAATTTAAGGCAAGGATGGTAGTCACTCAAACGCAACAAAATGTGGTCTAGTTTTGCATCTTACCACTAATACGAGAATAAGATGTAGGAATTGACAAGGAACAGAATAGGAAATGCTCCAGAAGAAACATAGTAGTTAGGAATGCTTTTAGTTATCTATTTTACTTCTTATTTTTAATCGGAGAAATCTAATAGGTCTTACGAGTATCAATAATCTATTGAAATTTCAGATTATTAATACAGATTATAGCAATTAAATAGAAAATATCTAGGGAAGATTGTTCCTTATACTATTTAGACAAAGCAGACTTTACTTGAATTGTTG